GTTGCCCCTTACAAGATATATCCGATAATATCTTCACTTTTGTTGTGCATTGTTAACTTCTACAGCAATTTGAAAATCGCGATTTTTAACTTTGAAGAGCTCTGTCACGTGACTTAATTAACATATAACAAAATTTCTTATATATTCTTAGAGTGCATGATCTCTTCTTTTTGGCGATAATCACACTTGATATTTTGATCAAAATTGCGCGTTTTAAAAATTGAAAATTTTGTACTGACTTCTATAGTAACTGTGCGTAAAATCACGGTGTCTATAATTTACCGACAGTCACCGATGCCCTAAGAAAAAAGTTTAACTACGAATATCTCATGATCTAATGATTGTAAAGACTTGAAATTTTGAACATTATTTAACAATGTAGACATCATCACAGACAAATTAAAATTTTTGAAGTGGGCGTGGCGCATCCGGTGGGCATTTACCTTTACCTGAAATACTTGCAATTGTCATAACTCGCAAAGTTTGCAATTGTCATCCTAGAAATTTTGCATGAAAGTAGATCACTGCTTAGGACAATTTGTGATAAGATTACAGTTATTTGCGTTCTTTACTTTAAGAAAGGGAACATGTTTAAGAATTTTAAAAATTTTCATTTTTGAACTTTAACGTAAATGACTTTGACCTTTGCATGGTCAAAGGTCATTGATCTAAGATGACCATTCTTACTTTGATTTTTCATGCTCATATTACTTTTATTTAACCTTTGTTGACCTTTTGACCTGAACAAAGGTTGTTGCCCATTACGAGATATATCCGTTAATATTTTCACTTTTGTCATGCTCCGTTAACTTCCGGTTCTACAGCCAATTGAAAATCGCGATTTTTAACTTTAAAAAAAGGTCTATCACGTGACCTAATTTATATAAGCGAAAATTTATCTTTTGTCCTTATTACACGCAATCTATTCTTTCAAATGATATATAACACTTGGTATTTTGATTAAAATTGAATTTGAAAATTTTGTATTGACTTCTATAGTAACTTTGCGTAATTTTAACGGTTTCTATAATCCACCGACAGTCACCTTTGCCTTAAAAAAACTTTTAACTACGAATATCTCATGATCTAATGATTGTAAACACTTGAAATTTTGAACATTATTTGACATTGTACACATTATTACAGACAACAAAAAATTTATGCAGTGGGCGTGGCAAATCCGGGATACTTTTACCTTAAAATTAAATAATTCAAATTGTTATAACTCGCAAAGTTTTTACAGACGTCCCAAAACAGCAATTTAACACTTTTAAAGCTTATATTTCTTTTATTTGACCTTTGTTGACCTCTTAACCGTAACACAAGTTATAGTATCTGACAAAACCCTTCCAAAAATAATTCCATTTTTGTTGTGCGATTTGTTTTTTTTAACTTTACAGCTATTTGAAAATTCGACTTTTTACTACCGAATGTTAACACCTTTTAGTATCGAATGGTATCAAATCCATGCGTCTTTTCACTACCGAACGTTAAACGGTTTAAACGATTTTTTTTACTATTGAATGTTTACATGCTTTTCTTTCCGGTAAGATATCTCATTTTGACTTTAAAATGCAACGTGCTATCGATGTATCAGGTTGGATGCGCACTGCTTCGGTACCGTTATAACGGTTCTAGTTTGTTTTTTTTTTTCGATTTTTACACACCTTCCTGAGCTTAGACTACAATAGTTGCAGCAACCATTCAACATTCACGAACCTTAGATATAGGCGACGATGTGCATAAATATATTTTAGATCTTTTTTGCAAAACCGGAAGTGCCACAGTTCAATATGTGCAAGAATAGATAATCGGCTCTAGAAGTCGTATTTTTCGGTCGATTTTCTTTGGGTTTGCATTTTTGGAATCTACTGGCAAAATCTGAAAGAATAGCAATTTCAAAATTTCAAAATTCGAAAATTTGTCGCAGACATTTTTTTTCCCAAATTTTGCATTTTTTTCATTTTTTTTGCTTTTTGTCTGATTAATCTGAAAAAAATTGAGCAAAGACAGTTTAAGAAAGTAAACAAAATGGTACAGTCAAATTTTCAATTTCACTTCTGGTTTAAACAGGAAATCGATGTTCACTTCCGGTTGAATATCTTCCGGTTGAATATCTTCCGGTGTGATTTGTATAGGACAAAAAATTCTATGCTGATAGGTAGACAAAGTTATGACAAAAAAACGAAGAAAAAAAAATCCGGAACAGACGTGAAACTGGCCGCCATTTTGATTTTTCTGAAATGATTCGATTTAAGATAAAAAAAAAAACATGACATTCGGAAGTCGTTTTTCGATTCTCAATTTTGCTTTTTTGCAACATCCGGTTGAATTTTTTCAAAGTTTGAAGGGTCATATCTCGTGATCTTGAACTTTGATGACCTTGACCTTCATAAGGTCAAAGGTCATTGACCTTAGCTATCAGTTAATACTTTGACATTTGACCTTCGACATGTACTTCCGGTTTTATAGCTGTCCGAAAACAGCCAAATTCGCAACTTTGGACTGCTCTACCACGTGACCTAATTAACCTAGAGGGTTAATTTTTTCGGATTCTTAATGTGCTTTTCATGCTCTTTCAAGTGATTTATAACAATCATTTTTTAAAGCAAAATTGAAATTCGTGAATTTTTCAAATTTGAGTTTTTTTTTTACAATATTTCTGTTTCTTTCAGCTTGGTGTGTATATATCTTATGACCTATTTTATGTAGAACATTGAAACTTGGAACACAACAAGACAATTTGAATATGAATTAACTTATGACAAAAAAGTTGAGGTGGGCATGGCACATCCGGGTTGAATTACTAATTATTTACATTTTGGGAAAGGGGCATAACTCGCATAGTATACATTTGTTCAAAAAGGAACTTTGCACACAATTACCTCATTATTTTGGTCACTTTGTGTTAATAGGTCAATTGTTTCAGCTTTATAGTTCCAAAAAAGGAACGGGTTTTGAAATTTCCATATTTTCAATTTTCTATTTTGACCTTTATTGACTCTTGTTGACCTATATCTTTTGACCTGTATGATGTAGAAGCTTTAACTTTGGAACACAACATAACATTCAGAATATCAATTAACCTATGCAAAAGAAATTGAGGTGGGCGTAGCACATCCGGGTTAAATTACTCATTATTGACAATTTTGGCAAGGGACATAACTCGCAACGTATACATTTGTTCAAAATGGAACTTTGCATACAATTACTTCATCCGTTGAGCCACGTTGTCTTAGAAGTTCGATTGTTTCAGCTTTATAGTTCAAAAAAAGGAACAGGTTTTGAAAATTCAAAATTTTCAATATTTGACCTTGACCTTTTTTGACCCTGATTTTTGTAGGATCAAAGGTCATTCACATTGGCTATCTATTTATACTTTTATATTTGCTGTCCTATCTCATCTTCCGGTTTTATAGCCGTATATATTTAAAAATTTTGATGACTTGTATCTCGTAACCTTGACCTTTGTTGACCGTCTCCCTTTCAATGTCAAATGTCATTGACCTTGGCTTTCTTCTGATACTTTCATTTGTGAGGCCTGTCTACTTCCGTTATAACAATCTTCCAAAGAATTATTCTCAACTTTAGACTGCTCTTGCGCGTGATTTTTTCAGAGTCTGTTGCATTTTGCTACATTTGCAAAGTCCCACTCTGTGCCACGTGTGGCTCTAGTTCATATTGATTTTGAAAAATTTTGTGGAATTACTCAGCATAAATAACTGGCATATATATATGTAATTGAATTCAAACTAATAAAAATTTCTTCAATATGAGAAAATTCGTACTTTAGTCACTAAAGACTATTTTATCATTTCTGACAGCTGCCAGTGGGCGTATGTTACCTTGCTTCGCAAGCTATCTTATTTATTTATTTTCATTTTTCTTATTTTGGCCATTGTAGAAAAACTGCAAATAATATACCATTTCTGTTGTGATCACTTATCTAAACAAAGAAAACTAAAGCAGTGTGTTGCATTGTGGGAATTTAAAGTTTTGCTTAGGTGTTTATCATACGACTCCAGCTTCTACATAGCATTTCCTTCTTTTATCAATAAAATAATCATGGCATAATGATAAAGTGTACATTTATAATTCACACAATTATAGAAAATAATAACGAACATAGTAATGTACATATAAATTAATTTACTAATACATGGTTAACCAACCTCTAAGAGTACATAAAAATATAGTATTGTATAGTACATTATCTATATTTACATGTTTAATGTAATGAGCTTAATTTGCGTAATTCAAAGTAATATATAACAAAACAAAGAATCTAAAATATATAGAGAGCTGGGTACTTGGATTGATACAAACATTGAGGGGTAGTGAAAAGGGTGGGGTTGGCTGGGAGGAAGGGGTGGATTAAGGGTAAAGGAGAATATAATCCATTTAGCATCAAATTAAAGTGTATGAGGATGTAGAAAATCTTGGGGATCAAATTTACTGAAATCCGATTGTTTACTCACTAAAGTAGCTTGTGTTAATCTCGCCACATTTTCGTTTAAAAAAATTATTACCCAAACCATGTTTAAAAGACATATTTGTATGTTAGAAATAATGTAATTGATTAAACTGTGTAGTTAGAAAAAAAATTGTCTTTTTTCCCTATTTTGGAAAGATAACCTTTTAAATTTAAAAAATTTCGGTTGGTATTTTGCTGTTTTGGTAATGTTTGGCTGTAAAAAGGCACACAAAGAGTTACCTCCCCTATGGAAATTGTGAGAACCGATAATCTTTATTAAGTGACCACTCGATCATTGGAATCCTCTCGTAATTAGCTAATTACGGGTTAATTATTCCCTTAACTTAATAAAATATATTCTCAAGTCACTAAAGGCTTTGTTATCATTTCTGACAGCTTGTGGTGAGTGTAAGTTACATAGCCTGTCAGGCTATCTTTTTAAATATCTGTTTACTGTAGTCCTTTATCTTGAATTTTTCTGGAATATGCTAATCTTTCATTCTGTATTTCCCATTTCTAATTGCAGAATTATGGTACTTGATTCAGGAACAATCAAAGAATATGATTCACCAAACAGATTACTAGAAGATAAAACCACAATATTTTATGGAATGGCAAAGGATGCTGGCTTAGTACATTAATCAATAATCTAAGTAACATATCTCAATTAACACAATTTATATTCAGTCCTTAATATTAATATCTGGAAAATTAAGAAAATGTGATCAGTGGCAGACTGTCAAAGTTGAGATTCATAATGCAACAGCGCTGTTGCAGTGTTTTGGAGCATCAAAAAGAGTTCTCCCAAGAAAAGAGTTGAAAAAATAGAATTTATTTGATGCATTCTAACGCCTATTATGAGACAAAAATGTTTAATAATCATATTTTAAAATTTTGTTGAAATGAAGCTGGGTTACGAACCATGTTTTTAGCACAACGAGGAATCGTCCATTACTTTAAACTATGGCTAAAAGATAGCAATTTATAAATTTCAGATTTTTAATTTTGTCACTGACATTTTTGTTTTAATGAAGGCGTTTTTTTTTTTTATTAACTTCTACAATTTTGTTTTGATTGAAATAGTAAATAAAAAATTTTGTTACACTTTCGGTTTTGCCGTCATTCGCTTGAAAACTTGAAATTTCAACTTTCGGCATTTTAGAGATATTTGAAAAATTCTTTTTGCAGTATGTTCGAATTGTTCAATTAAAAGATTTGAAATAATAACATGTGTTCATTTGTTTACCATTAATCTTTGCATCAAAATAGGATACTAATTTGGACAGTTCCTGGAAAAGGAACTGTTTTCTGGGTAATTTTATTCCAAAGATAGCTCGCCAGGCAAGGTAAAACACGCCGACTGGCAGTTTTGATTTTAAATAAAAATATTTGGCAGTATTACCAGTATGAAATATTGAACCCTCATTCATATACTTCTTTTGAACTGTTTGAGTCAATACTGAATAATATTACCAAGTTTTGCCAATATCTGTCAATAATTTGAGTGTTTTTTCATGCTAAAATTGAACGCGTTTTCAAGAACAAGGGCAATAACTCAAACTAATTTATTTCATGTGTTCATATAAATATGGAACAGGTTTTACAATTTTTAAAATTATAATTTTTTGACCTTTAACATGCATGACCTTGACGTTTGCAAGGTAGACGATCTAGGATGTCCATTCATACTTTGATTTTTGATGTCCGACATTATACTTTCGAAAACAGCAATTTTTAAAACTTTCACATCTTTTATTTGAACTTTGTTGACCTCTTGGCCATAACAAATGTTGTTGTGCTTGACGAGACCTATTCAAATATATTTTCATTCTTTATACGCCCACTTGAAGTGTTAAGTGAATATTTTCGTCACCCGTGTCCGGCCGGCCAGCCGCCCGTCCCTCCGCCCTCACTCAAATGTACTTGCGTGGTTTTCCATGAGTCTATTTAGTACTTGTGGGGATTTTTCAACTTTTGCGCTGCACCACATAAACTAATGAATGAGCCTTCTGGCGGACAAACGCAACCCCAAAAAAACAGACATTGAAAATGCAACCCAGAAAAGTGACTCATACGGCCAATCTCAGCCAACTTCGGACTAGTTAGACGCCACAGACAGTACCGTAAATTTTACGTCTTAAATAGACTAGTCACCCCCTTTTGAGAAAGTCTTGGCTATCAAGACACCTGCACTTGTTTAATACGAAACTCGCGACTTACTGATCTTGACTACCACTACGCATGCGCAGCTGTTTTTTTCCTGTGTTATGATCAGAATCTGTCTCGCTTCAAAAATTAAATGTAAGTACTTCTGATAAACAATCTGTTATCGTCAACATTTAGATTCATTGTTAGCTGATCTGGACCTATTGTTGCCTTAAGTGCATGGATTAGTCTAGATTAATCAATGTAAGCGAAACGAAAGACAAGCCAACGTGGCCACGTGTGATGTGACCTGATCGCCATCTTGAAAGAAACCTCAAACGATCCTTCTTGTACATTAGTGATTTGAATTTCAATCTGTATTTACAATTTTTGTAGTTCCAATTAAGAAGAAAAAGTTGAATGATGGTAAAGCTCTAGATACTAAAGGAAAACATGATGACGTTAATCAAACCTCAAGTTTTGATACTTCTAATTTACCAATGAAACTTCATCTAATACAGAACCAGAGCCTAGTATTGATCAGATCAAGAAATACAGTCGTCAAAACAGAACCTTAGATGCTACAGGAAGACCTGATGACGTTAATCAAACCTCAAGTTTTGATACTTCTAATTTACCAAATGAAACTTCATCTAATACAGAACCAGAGCCTAGTATACATGATCAGATCAAGAAATACAGTCGTCAAAACAGAGCCTTAGATGCTAAAGGGAAACCTAATGACGTTAATCAAACCTCAAGTTTTGATACTTCTAATTTACCACATGAAACTTCATCTAATACAGAGCCAGAGCCTAGTATTGATCAGATCAAGAAATACAGTGGTCAAAACAGAGCCTTAGATGCTACAGGAAAACCTGGTGATGTTAATCAAACCTCAAGTTTTGATACTTCTAATTTACCAAATGAAACTTCATCTAATACAAAACCAGAGCCTAGTATTGATCAGATCAAGAAATACAGTCGTCAAAACAGAGCCTTAGATGCTACAGGAAAACCTGATGACGTTAATCAAACCCTAAGTTTTGATACTTCTAATTTACCAAATGAAACTTCATCTAATACAGAGCCAGAGCCTAGTATTGATCAGATCGGGAAATACAGTCGTCAAAACAGAGCCTGAGATGCTACAGGAAAACCTGATGACGTTAATCAAACCCTAAGTTTTGATACTTCTAATTTACCAAATGAAACTTCATCTAATACAGAGCCAGAGCCTAGTATTGATGAGATCGGGAAATACAGTCGTCAAAACAGAGCCTGAGATGCTACAGGAAAACCTGATGACGTTAATCAAACCTCAAGTTATGATACTTCTAATTTACCAAATGAAACTTCATCTAATACAGAGCCAGAGCCTAGTATTGATCAGATCGGGAAATACAGTCGTCAAAACAGAGCCTGAGATGCTACAGGAAAACCTGATGACGTTAATCAAACCTCAAGTTATGATACTTCTAATTTACCAAATGAAACTTCATCTAATACAGAGCCTAGTATTGATCAGATCAAGAAATACAGTCGTCAAAAAAGAACCTTAGATGCTACAGGAAAACCTGATGACGTTAATCAAACCCTAAGTTTTGATAATTCTAATTTACCAAATGAAACTTCATCTAATACAGAGCCAGAGCCTAGTATTGATCAGATCAAGAAATACAGTCGTCAAAACAGAGCCTTAGATGCTAAAGGGAAACCTAATGACGTTAATCAAACCTCAAGTTTTGATACTTCTAATTTACCAAATGAAAATTCATCTAATACAGAACCAGAGCCTAGTATACATGATCAGATCAAGAAATACAGTCGCCAAAACAGAGCCTTAGATGCTACAGGAAAACCTGATGACGTAAATCAAACCTCAAGTTTTGATACTTCTAATTTACCAAATGGAACTTTATCTAATATTCTTACAGAAAACCGGTTACTCGTGATTGGTCATCACAGGAATACACTTCAGAAGATGAAGGTATTTACCAAGTGAAAGTTCTTTTCACAATAGTGACCAATGCGAAGTCATTAATGAAAGTGAAGGGGAGGAAAGTGATGCTAGTGAAATTTTTCCAATGCTTTGTAAACCACCTGAAGTCAGCTCAAAATCCTCTCTAAAGGCCCCCAGTACTATAAGCTCAAAGGTGGTCCCAAGTAGAAATTTAGATGTTCTAGATTCAACTGATAGTGAGGATTAATCTCCTGATGAGGAATCCATTTTGAGAGCTAAAGATAATCATAAAATCTATGTATTTAAAATTCTGAAAGGCACAACCTCTAAAACTGGTCAAATGAAGAAAATTGATAGAGTTTATAACAGCTACCAGTATTGTGCTTAAGGTGTCTAATTTTTCCCAGCACATAACTAGAAATCGTCCTTTGTCGTCACATTCAAATTCTAAAGAACTCACAGAATTGCTTAATGAAGATGATCCTAAACAGTCAAGAGATTTGAAAACTTTACTTAGAGGTAAATTCAACAATGAGTTCAACATGAAAACACTTGCAAGAGGTAAGGGGGAGATCATCCTTGAGAGAAGACCATCATGTGATTTTAATGTAGCAGAATATGGTCCATGTCCAGGTTGCTATTTGTGGATAAGCAAAGTTTTACTTAGAAAGCACAAGGAAAAGTGTGTTTCAGAGAAAGGTATTCAAGTTGATTCAACATCCTCATTAGTTACTCAATCAGATATTTTATGTGGCAGAATCCAACCGATTGCCAGTCAGACTTTGATTAAAGAAGTTTTTGCTTCAATGAATTTAGATGAGATTGGTAAAGTTGCCAGAGAAGATAGTCTTATTGTACAATTAGGCAATCAATGGATTGAAAAAAATGTACGTATACTTCACAAATGATGAGGTTATGTGGCAGATTACTTTTAAATCTTAGAGAAATAAAACCATTAGATGATGAAGAAAACTTGTGGAATTGTGTCTGTCAAATTGGTTGTATACAACCGCAGGAGATCTGGGGAGTTACAAGCTATTAGGTATTCTTTAATTGTTCATTTATTTGCAATCAGTCTTTAGTTTAACTTTTTTTATCATACAAAAGCTATAAATTGCTAAGGATTTTAAGGGAGTTTTTCTGAAAATAAAATTAGTATGAATATGGCACTTTTATAGCATCATTTTGTACCAAGCAAATCAGAATTTGAATGTTGCAAATTGAATTTTTTAAAGTATAAAATTTGACTGTTATATTTTGACTTTTCAGAGTGAATGACTATGAAAATAGGAAGAAAGGTGAAGCACCAGAGCATCTGGTTGGAGAGTTAACCATGTTTGAGATGAAATTACTGGAAAGTCAAGAAGTTATGACTGTTAGAGGAAAGGTAGATATATAGAGTGGTGTAACCTATTTTCGTGGATATAAGGATTCAACACCAAATTTCGTCAAAGTTAAAAAAACGAAAAAAAAAATTTATGTCTTAGATGTTTCCTCAGATATTCTACAAAATAATTTAAATTGGTTTATTTC